GCACCTCAAACACTCACTGTTCACACTCTGGATCACCCTGGATGTCCCACACGCGATACCCAGTACACACACACAGTACACACACTCTTCCCCTAAGCTACAGCTATGGCGGGAATGGTCGCCGCTACCCTACTGCTATGGCTACCGTATGTCACTCTCGCCCTCTTCGTCTTCGGGCCTTCTGCAGACCTCTTCGCACAAGCTGCTGAGGCAGCGCTTCCGCATGGCATCCGCAGGAATGAATGAATGGCTGGACGCAGCCTCTTGATTTATACTTCTGCGCTGAGTTGGTTTGCCCTTTGTCCCTTGGCCCTTGGTGCACACAGTCCCAGACGGTACTTGCTGGACGGGACAGGAATGCCTAACTACCACCACTTGACCACTTGCCTCTGTTCAACGCAGGCTCACTCCGAAAGGCCACTTCTAGAAACCTCTAACTTGGCCTTTCGGTACTGTAGCAGCTACAACTTTGCCCCTTCAGGTAAGTAGCAGCTACGACCTTGACCCTTCAGACATCCTACAACTACGACTTCGGAACTGTCTAGACTCCTACCCTACAGGTCTACAGTTCGATTCCCTTCTACCCTGTGACCTACGAAAACCTACCTACCACTGGCGGTCCTACAGGTCGCAGGTTCAAATCTATGGGTTGACATTGGTACTATACACAGGTAAGATGGGGAACTAGGGATCGAGCCCTGGGATCTGCATTCGCAACTGCAAACTGGTGAATACCGTTTCACTCCCGCCGGCCTAAATTCGAGGTCCTCCGAGAAAATTTCAGTCCAAGGCAGGACCTTTACCTCACTGTTGTCTCTCGTAGGCCCGGACTATATCGGGAGCTGTCTCTAGAAGTTCAGACCTTGTAAACCAGCGGTCGTCTTCAGGTTCTTGGTAACTAAAATGAACCTTATATTGTTTCTGCAGACGACCCCTACCTCCACTTCTGAAGACATCTTCAGCCACTATACCATCGATGTCATATCTCCCATCCATATCCGGTGGGATCATTGATCTACGGGATGGAAACTGATCACTTGTCTGACAAGGTAATAACTTCGATGCATGGAAAACTGGGTAAGTGTGGAGGTGTGCTGGGAGTTCTATGGTATAGGACGGTCCATCTTCGCCGCCCTTGACTTCTAGAACGGGCCACGGTCCTCTATATGTGGGCAGTAACTTCTGCGAGATGTTCTCCTCAGGTGTAAACTCAGAACTGACCCAGACTAAGTCGCCTACTTGAAACTGTGAGGGGCGACGATGTTTGTTCGCTTGCTCTATCATCCTATGCTGGGCTTTTCTAAGGTTCTCTACAACAGTAGCTAGTTCTTTCTCGTGTTGTACAGCAAACTCCCTGGTCCCGGGCGGTAATCTGTGAATCTGATCCCGGTCGAGTCCCTCAAACGGTTTGCGCGGTCTAAAGAACTTGTCTGTTCGTTGGGAGTGCGGCAGGTGGATAAATGCACGTTGTTTTATACGCACTAGCTACTTTAGGCAACATCTCGTCCCAGTTAATCTGATCTGGCCTAATGTACATACGCAGAACTTGCTGTAGGATCTTGTTCATTTGCTCTGTCTGACCGTTAGTCTCTGGATGRCGGCCGGACGACATCAACAACTTAGATCCATATACTCCCMTGAGTTCTTGCCAGTTCTGGCTAGTAAAGCGACTATCTCTATCGCTAACTATAGACAGTGGGATTCCATTCTCACTCACCCAACAGTCAAAAAATMTYTGTATGACTAAATCAGTACGTGCCTCTGAAGGCAAAGGAACAAAAACTGCGTACTTACTAAAACGGTCCACTACGACCATGAATTGGCTCTTACCATGCCTACTCTTGACTTGAGTGCCCATGAAGTTGATGGACACCGAGTCCCCCGGCTGGTCCGGAATGGGCAAGGGTCTGAGAAGACCTAGCGGGGCGCACGTAGAACTCTTGTTGCGCTGGCAAACCTTACAACTGCGAACATACTCTACGCAGTCATTCTTCATCCCCGGCCAGGTATACGCGTGCATCAGATTGGCTAAAGTCTTTTGCCAACCAAAATGACCCTCTGTGACGTGGCATTCCCCCAAAATCAGACTACGAATCTCTTCGCTATTGGAGATGCACAGCCGGTCAAAAACATTCGTCTTCTCAAAAAGCAACCCCTCAGTGGTGAGGTAGTTCGGTTCAGTCTCTGGGGCCTCCTTGACCTTCTTGAGGAGGTCACTGTAGATAGGGTCATGTGCATAGGCTTCTCTAATTTTCTGCTGCAGGTCCTTCCCTATGTCTAAATAGTATACGATTGCCCCAAAGTAATCAGCTCTCCTACTCAGAGCATCCGCAACTACGTTATACTTCCCCTTGACTGGCTTGAGCTCAAAGTCGTATTGATCTATCTCTGCGGCCCACCTAGTAAGATTAGGTGTCATCTTGGCCTGCGTCTTTAACCATCGTAACGTTTCATGGTCGGAATAGACTTTGAAGTGCCTCCCAAGCAAGTAGTGCTTCCAGTGGTCTAAGGCTTGCCTGAGAGCGTAGAGTTCCCTCGCATAGGTAGATGTTGCGACCTTCTCTGAAGGCATTCTGGCGGACATGAACTCTACGGGTCTATACCCATTGCCATCGTCTTGCTGTAACACTACGCTTATGCCGTATTGACTCGCATCGATCATGACGACAAAGGGCAAGGACGGATCGGCGACTTTAAGGACTGGATACTCTATCAATGCCTCCTTTAACTTCTTCATGGCAGATGTGCAGTCCTTATCCCACTTCCAGATGGTCTCCTTTCTCAACAATCTGCAAAGGGGTGCAACGATGGTAGAGAAGTTCCTCACAAACTTTCGGTAGTAATTAGCTAAGCCCAGGAACGAGCGCAACTCTGTCAGCGTACGTGGCGTGGGCCAATCTCTAATCGCTGCGATCTTGCTATCCTCTGGCTTAACGCAGTCTCCGTCTAAGACGTGGCCTAAGTACAAAACTTGGGGTTTTCGCCCAATCGCACTTCTTTGCATTGATCTTGAAGTTAGCTTCCCCCAGCTTCTCCAAGACCTGCCTGAGATGACCCTGATGCTCTTCGAGGGTCCTGCTAAACACTAAATGTCATCTAGGTAAACTACAACAAATCTGTCTAACCACGGCCTACACAAATCGTTCATACAGCATTGGAATGTAGCTGGCACATTGGTTAGTCCAAAGGGCATCACTATGAACTCATAGTGCCCATATCTAGTCCGGAAGGCTGTCTTATACTGATCATCRGGATGCACYTCTATSTGATGA